GTCAGATTTCTTGACATTCATAGAGGGTGATTTCCTCTTTCTCCCATGGATAGGTTTTCATTACCCTTAATTGGTGCTAAGTATGAGTGACCTGCCAGTGATTGCCCATCGCTTCCAGTTCCCATTGAAGCATCATTAGGTTCCCTGTTTACACTCACTGTAAGGAAATAGGTGAGAAATATAAGCAGTGGGCTAAAAGCATTTAAAAAAAAATATTTGCATTGCATCAAATTGCCAGTCCTTGAACAAGCTAACTATTCATTTCTCCTCATAACTGCGAATGCTACAAATTGTGTGGCTTACACTGCAATTTTGTTTAAAAGACATTATAGCCTGCAATCTTAGTTCATTTGGTACTAGTCTGGTAAATGGCCATCTTTCATATCAAAAATTTCAATCTAAGTACTGATCGGTGGGTTAATATTATAGAAAGAGCACCCTAGGGGAACATAAAGAAATGGCTGGATTTTAGTACCTGGTAAAATAGTTCTCTACTCCAAAATGGGAACAGTTAAATCAACAAAATGACTCGGAGTAAATATGCCCTTTCTTGGTGTTTTAGTTTATTTGAGTGATACTTCACCAAAATCTTACAATCCTTCATCATCTACTGTTTGTTTCAGATGTTAATTTGAAAGTTATACTGTTTTCTAGAAACATAATTTGATATATACATCCTGCCCTGAGAATGAATAAAATAAAAGAAATTGAATTTTTTTTGGTAAATATTTAGAAACCTCATAATAGTTTCCATTATAGGAAATATAGGATAGTTTCCATAATAGCAGTCCATTGTGGGATAAGATGGTGGACACAGTCTTACAATGTCATCTTCTATGGACCCAATCCCTCTTTTGTGGGGTTATAATAGCTCCCTTACTATAATTTGGGGAAGGTTAAAGACAAAACACACTTGTATATCAAATGCTGTGTATTATTTCTTATAGGTAGCATTTTTTCACAGTCATCTTTTAATGACCCAGGGGGGACAATACCGATAGCTTCTCAGCAAGTCCACACCTGCTACACACCCTGCACATCAGCTCTGCTGTGTGTCACCCTCACAATGCCAACAGGACAGGTGTCATTATCCTCATTTACAATCAAATGACTTCTGAGGCTCCAAAGACTAGGTGAGATCCCAATAATTTACAGTATGGTATTATAAATTTCTGCAAAACCTCTATGATCATTAAATATTCTAGTTAAGCTGATAATACACTGTTAGAAATACTGTCTATTTTGTCTTAAGCCGTTCATAGCAAAATGTTCCCAATCATGGAGGCTAAGTGTTTTTAAAGGCAAGTGGGTTAACTTTTCAAAGGTAGGCTCAGTGTTTCAAAGTGTAAATATTAGAGATAGGAAAACACATTTCTGATTATCTGTAACTTGACTCACAAGGAGAGATCAAACATAACAAATGGGATCAAACTTGGGTTTAATCCATAATGTGTTAGAGCCAGAAATATTTTTCTCTTGAGCGGTGATTTTTCTTCATTTGAGGTTTTTCTGGTGTTTATTGATTGGGCTGAGCAGGTTGAAGGGTGATTTCACATCCCCTGGGTACACACAGACGCCTGTCTCCCTGTCTCTCCACCCTGGCTCTGCTTCACCTGCCTGAGTAGTCGATCGCTTTCCTTTATTCCTTTATTGCGCTTTCTCACTCATTTGCAGCCAAGAGCAGCTCAGGAGGAAACCCTTCGGTTGGAATGAAATATTGGCAGGGTGGAGGAAAGTGTGCACATTATTACCAAATTAAATATCTGTGTCTGAGACTCAGGGACAAGCATCATGCCATGTTGCATATTAAATTCGGGGGAAAACTTTGGAAGAAAGAAAAGTCCATGTTACAAATTGATTTATGATCTCTAGGCCATGGAAGAGAAATTCTCAATAGTCTCATTGTCTTCTTATTATTTTCTTTCTCCTCCTGCTCCTCCTCCTTCTCTTCTGCAACAACCTCTAACACATCTTTAACATTCTTTAATATAAATACACAGTGCCCCAGGCACGCACAGACATATACACACACCTATAGAAAGGCCCGGGTCGACGACACCTCAGCTCCACGACACCTCAGCTCCACATTTGGTTGAGTAAGTCAATCTTTGATGCTGGTTCTTAACTTTAGGTTCTATAACCACGTACCACAGACGGGTTGGGGGGAGGGAGCTTATACACTACAGACATTTATTGCTCACAGCTCTGGAAGCTGGTAATTTTTACTTGTAAATTCATATATGGTTAAAGGGGTTTCTTTCCTAATACCTGCAAAGGAAGTGCCTTCATAGTCAGGCACACAGCTTGTGACCACTTCGGCCAACTCCTGGGGCTGTGGTGGAGGTGGTTTCGCTGGGTAGTATAAGCCACAGAGAAGGTTGTTCTATCGATGTATCCTTTAGGGAAGACGGGGCAGGATAAAATGAAACATAGCCCATTTCTAAAGCCATGTTATGGTTGCTCAATATTTAGTGAGAAAAAAACAAAACACTTAGTATTTGCTTTATTAAGTCCATTTTAGGATCTAGATTTTTGGGGGGATGCAGAGGACTTTAGAATCCCAGCCATCTGCCCCAATACCCTGGCACGCTGGGAGTTAGGCAAAGGGCAGAGGAAAAATGGGATTGCTGGGGAAAGAGGAAAACAGTGCACAAAGGAGGGGGCAGGGTTCTTATGTAGGGGACTTCAACTAATAGATGGCTCAAGGGGAAAGTGAGCTCGTTTTACCCTCTCCTCAGACTCTGCTACACACTACTTGGGATGCAAGGCTTTCTCTCTGAGGGGGACTGCACCTCCTGCCTTCTCAGAGTCGGGGCTCAGACCGCCTGACTCTAGCCCTTCACAGATTGCCAAGCTCTCTCAAACAGAGGCTCTTACTGCATCTCCACAGTCAGTGAGGCTTGTGTACAGCACAGTGCATGGAAAGCGGAGCTTCCAGCACAAGCTGCCCTTTCCAAGTGTCGACACCATAAAACACGCGGTGGCATGACAGGCGATATGAAGCAAGGACTATACCAACTCTTATCCTGCCCAGAAATCCTCCAATCTGAATCCCTTTGGCAGGGAGATGCAAAGTCACCTCAACTGTAAAGTATGACCTCAGTAAAACCCTATTGACTATAATCTGATTAAAAGGATTAGCATATCAAAAGAAAGATAATGTGTCAATAAGAATTAGTTTATGTAAACTGTGTCCATTCAAGTCACCTGGGTTCCTCCTGGCAAAGAAACTAAGGGTTGGTGTAGTACATATTTAACCAGTGTGGAGAAACACATCAGCCTAACAAAACTCATGCTGTTAAAACGTCAAACCACGTAATTAACTCTCTTTGCTCTGATATCATGCTTAGAAAGAAATCATCCAGTAATTTGACTTTCTATGTAGCTTTTCTCCCAGGACAGGGCGTGCATGTTAACACAGGATCCGTAAGACAATTATATTTCACATTATAAATGAATCATCCCTGTGGTTTTTCGACTTCAGGCTTTGATCAAATCCACCAGGATGTATCACCTTCTCCAAGTCTAGTCACTCCAGGTGCAGGCCTCGCTCCACCCCTCAGAGATGAGATTTTAAGAGAGGAATTATGTTGCTGGAGGCCAGGAAGCTGGGAATGGATGGTAAAGATTGTTTAAATTACCTCATTTTATAAGAAGTTGGAGGAGGTACTGTGAAAGAGAAATGGAGTGATGCCAGTTAAAGGCAGTAAAGGCAGATTTTATTCAGTTCTATTGTGACAGGGAAGAGTCTTTGGTAAAAAACTGAGCTCCACTCCGAAAACAGGAAACACGGCTGGTTATTTATAGCCAAGGGGCAGAGAGGGTCCCTGGGCGGAAAGTTACTAAGAGGAGACATCAAATTGGGGAGTGGGGGTGGGACTAGCCTGGCCTAACAGGATTCTTGTTTAAGGTGGGCCATCAACTGAGATGTCAAGGACGGGGAAGAAGGGCCTTGATCATGTACAGACAGTGATCCAATGTCAAGGGTTCAGGTTCTCCGTGAGCTCACTTAGAATTCCTGCTGAAACTAGGCTCAGCAGACCCAGGTCAGGGCCCCAGTCTGAGGCCTACTCAAAAAGAGGGCTTAGAGGAACCTGCCCAGAATTCAGTCAAAGAGAGGGCCTCTTAAAACGCACAATACATTGGAGGCCCTCTAAGATCTGTATTTTGGGTCTTTCCATTCCTAGAGTTGTTTCTACTATTCCAGAACACCTTTATTTTTACCCATTTTAAAATTGTTATTTTGCTTCAATCTTCATAATATTCTGTTTGCAGAATATCCCTGAGTTGATCAATTTCACTCAACCATTTCCCTTCCAAGTAGACTTGGCCCAGGTTATTGCTTTTATAATAAATATGAGGACACACTATTACTTCTGTGGTATTATTGTCTTAAGATAAACTCTAGGAGAGGGATTAATACATCCAGCATCTATGTATCTTTATGGTTGCTCTAATATTAGATACTCCTTTTATGAATGAAAAAGGAAAAAGGGGTTTTGTGGAAAGAAACTGCACAGGGTGATCTGATCATAATTTCCTAACTGGGAAGGTCATGCTGGGTAGCCACACCCCAGGCATATAACTTCTTTAGTAAAAGATTTATATTTGCTTTAAGCAAGACCTGTCCATTGTTTCTGTGCATTTAGGTTAACATGTCTTTGAAATAAGTGTATCCACCCTCAAGAGAGCACATAATCTTAGCTGTCCTGTAATCCAGTCCTCACTTTCTCCCACCTCCCTGCACTATTCCTTACTTTCCCTCCTTATTTCCAAATGCATAAAAGAAACGGCACAACTATAACTCTCCAGAGCATTGGAGATCTTGCTTCCTGGAGTTGTCCTTAGTTTTGGCTTAAATAAATTCCTATAAAAATACTCTACAGGTTTGGACAGTTCTTACACGGACACTGATTTAGAAAGCTCTTGGTACTTCATGCGTCATTCAGTGCCCCCTTAACCTGCCATCGTTGTGTGTTGTAATTTATTTTTATTTTATTTTAAATATAGAACGCTTCATGAATTTGCATGTCCTTCATGTGCAGGGGCCATGCTAATCTTCTCTGTATTGTTCCAGTTTTAGTACATGAGCTATCAAAGTGAGTGCTGTGTGTTGTCATTTAGCGAGTACAAACATTTCTACAGGTTTCATTTCACTTGTATTTCTGTAATTAATGTCGGTGGTGCAGTTTTCTATTTCACCTTGTGTGGGTTTTCTGTAACTTTTAAAAATGGTCAAATTATTTGTTTTATTAAATGTCAGAGCACGTGGGTATAAACATGACCTAAAGCAGACATGACGTGGTTGCTCCCAGATGCATGATGCAGATGAAATGATGTGGTTCAGGGGCGTTTCTGAAACCCTCCATCTTTTCCCGATCACCAATTTCAGTATTCTTTAAGACTACTTCTGCAATGTTTTGTAACATTGATCCTAATTCAGTGCAGACTGAGACAGATGACCCCAAAAAAGCCAGTAATATGAAATAAAAACAATACTAATAACATTACATGCACTTTTATTCATATTTTATTAAGTTAATTTATTTATTGTAATTGGGTGGGAGTTACCCATTTTGTTAATATCAAAATATTTGATTTATCTAATTCGCTTGACAATTACACCCTTGGAAATGAATTATAAATTGTCACTATTTTATATTTAACATAAGAAGACTTTAGTCATCTTAATTTACTTTTACTGGGTCTTACATAATCTGAATCAAGACATGCTATATTTCCTAGAGATTTAGGAAATAACCAAAACTTAGAACTATATAGTTACAGAGATAGTACAATATATTTTAATAAATTAGACAAAAATCCTTTTTTTCACCTTTCTGGCTACCATTTTTACAACATAAATATAAGTTAATAACTTAACTCACTTGAGTCTATTGGAGTACTTAAGAATGTTGCGAGTTGTATTTTGTGCCTTGTGAATGATGACTTTTATTGAATCAGAGGTGGGCGCAGCCCTCCCCCACCCCCACAAACCCTGGCTCCTGACCTCTCTCATAATTGCCCACCCACCCACCAGACTTCTATCTCCTTGGTAAGGTTTCTCTGTGCAGCACAGTGAAAAGCCTTTCTCAAGCAGAGATAGATTACATCTATTGTCTCTGCCTGTCTAAAGTTCTGGCACTTCCTATGGAAGAAAATTAAATTGACTTGGCATCATGTGTCCCTCACCAAGCACATCTGACTGTCCTCCACCACCTTGTCCTCATCTAGATGACTGCAAATTGATTACTTGACAGTCTGTTCCAATTTCTTCCCAACTATTAAAATTGTAAGGTGACCAGTTAGTGATTATAAAGATAAAGCTTTTCTTTTCATTTCGGAAATGAGCAGTGTTACTAGTCCTTCCTATCATTTCAAGAACTCTTTATGGCTGCCACTGGTTATCACAAATATCTGCTGATGGCTTCAAAGCATGTCGTCTGGGCCTCCTGGCCTGGTTGCTTCTCCCTGTTAACCCTCCCTCATCACTTTTTCCATATCGCAATTCACCCCAGGCCAGCAAATGCCCCTCACTTCTCTGAATTTTCTTGTTTATATTAAATGTATTGATGTTCATAAGAGATGAATCATTTATCTTATACAAAAAAGGGGGGCTGTTGGAGAATATAGCCGAAATTCTTTAAGGCACTGTAGTGAGTATATTCACATTAGAAAATTACATATTTTTTTCCAGGGCTACATAACTTCCCAGATGACTGCTTAATTGACTACATATGTTGAGATTCAAATCAGCAAATAATTATTCATAGATTGTAAGAAAAAGACTTGCAGGGTTTCATATGATCTGTGATGGGAGTGATGATAGGATTTCAGTTGTAATTGATTAATGCATTCTGTTATGGAACAAGGGGGTCCACCCTCTCAACTCACAGCAAAGCCAAATTTTGCAGTGGAGAAATTGGAGTCATTTATTTGCAGGGCGCTGAGCCAGGAGAACAAGACGGGAAGCTATTGCTCTAAACCCAAACTCTTGGTGGCTTTTGATCAAGAGTGTATAAAGGCCAAGATTGAGGGTTAGAGGTTAGGGGTCAAGGGTGAAGCTGACTGGTTAGTTCTTATACAAGCTTCAGTGGTTTTTCCTCGGTCTGAATAATCCAGTTCCTGATGTCATCTTGCTTGATGCCTTTGTCATTGTGGTCTGGTGATTTAACCAGGTTGAAAAAAAGGCGGGGGGAGGAGGGCATATGTAATAATTTAACAATAAAGATAAATTTAAAAAAAACAACAACAAGTTTCTGCCACACATCTCATGACATTATCTTTAAAGCAAAAAGACAGAAATTAAATTATGTAACCATTGTTATTGTTTAAGCTATCATTGCTTTGTGCTTGACCAGCTATATTTTTCTATTATCTCAAGCAAAGTGTACTTGAAAATGTTTTTCCTGGAACTTGCTTTATAAGAAGACCTCGAGGACATGACTAAAAAGATTTATACTCTTTGACTATAAGCTATGTGACAACTGAAGCAACTGAAACATTTAGTGCCCTGGCCTGTGCCGATCGGTTGGTCATCCCCTGCGCCAAAAGGTCCCAGGTTTGATTCCTGGTCAGGGCACATACGCAGGCTATGTGCTCAATGTTTTTTTTTTTTTTCTCTCTCTCTCCCTCCCCCTTCCTCTCTCTTTGAAATTAATAAGAACCTATCCTTGGGTGAGGACTGAAAAAAAAAAGAAATATTTAGTTAAAGCCTATACCTACATCTCTAGACACTGTGACCTAAGACCTAAACATGTTTACTGTTAGCTGTAAGCTTCAATTCTACAGTAAACAAATAGGTTTCAAAGTATTTAATAAATATTTTTATAAGGAAGGCCCTTTGCATTTTTGTTAAATCCTTACTTGAGGATATGTTTTTATTGATTTTTTTATTTATTTTTTTTTGGTAGAGAGAGAGAAACAGATTGGTTGTCCCTTGTATGTGCCCTGACAGGGTATTGAACCCAAAATCTAGGTATGTGCCCTAAGGGGGAATTGAACCCAAAACCTTCTGGAACATAGGATGACACACCAACCAACTGAGCTTCCCAGCCAGGGCTCCTCTTGCATTTTTTTTAAATCTTCAACTGAGGATATTTTTCTATCTTAAGATAGAGTGGGAAGGAGGGAGAGAGAGAGAGAGGGAGAGGACATCAATGTGAAAGAGGCACATCGACTGGTTGCCTCCTGCACGAACATACCCAGGGTCAGAGACGAACCACAACCAAGGTACATGCCCTTGATAGGAATCAAACGCAAGACTCATTGGTCTGTGGGCTGATGCTCTAACTGCTGAGCCAAACCGGTCAGGGCCTTCTTGCATTTTTAATTAGGGACATTGAGGAACTGCTTTAGTTCTTCCAGTCTTTTGCCATTCAGTGGCTGCACCAATGATTTGCTAAATGGCACGCTTGCTTCCTGAAAGACGTTAAGCAAATTACCAAAGCACAGGACACATTGCCAAGCTCCCCAGGAGGAGCGGGAAACGCTGACACACTCCAGGGCCAACAATAGCACAAGTTGCTGAGTTGGTTTCAAAGCAGCACACTTGTGAAACTGAATGACTCATTAACTTATTAATATATTTCAGATATAGGACACGATTTTTGTGTTATATCACAGAAGTCTCTGTCTGCCAAATCCAAGGTCATAAAAATTTTATCATATATTTTCTTTTCAAAGTTTTAAAGGTTTATTAGTTTTGTGATTTTTTAAAAATACTGTAGAAGATATGAGTTAAAGTTTTTTGTTTTGTTTTGTGCATATGGTTGTTCAGTTGTTCCACACTGTTGGAAACAATATCCTTTTCTTGATTAAATTTCTATGTTGTAAATAAACTGAAAAATATGTAAACACACAAACATATAGCCATTTTTTTTTTGTACGTGCCCTTAGCTGGAACCGAACCCGGACTCTCTGGTCTGCAGGCCAATGTGCTAACCGCTGAGCAAAACTGGCCAGGGCCATATAGCCATTTTTCAGTTGATCTTGTGTCTCTTCTTTTGTCAATATCACAATATCCCATTTTCTTAATGATTGTGGCTTAAAACTTGAGTCTTAAAATAAAAGTACTGATTGTTCCACACATTTCTTTTTGCTTTTCAAAATTCTTATGACTATTTTATTTGTTGCTGTTTTTTTCCCATACATTTTTAAATCAGCCTCTTAACATCTAATCAACAGTCCTGCTAGAATTTTGACTGGTATTACTTTGAATCAATAAATTAATCTGGGGAGCCCTGGCTGGTTTGGCTCAGCAGTTCATGCAATGGCCTCCAAACTAAAAGGTCTTGGGTTTGATTCCAGTCAGAGGCACATACCTGGGTTGCAGGTTCAATTCCCCACCCCAGTCAGGGTCATGTGGGAGGCAACCAATTGATGTGTTTCTCTCACATTGATGTTTCTCTCTCTCTCTCCCTCCCTCCTTTCCACTCTATCTAGAAATCAATAGAAAAATATCGTTGGTTGAGGTTTAACCGAAAAATAAATAAGTAAAATAATTTAATTAACTAATTAATCAATCTTGGGAGAATTAACATTTTAATACTATTGAGTCTTCCAATCTGTAAACATGGCATCTCTTCATGTAGTCAGTCAATTCTCAACATAGATGTCATATGCATACTTTGTGGGATTAGTACCTAAATTTCAGAAATTTTGGTGCCACTTAAATTATTATTTTTCCTTTTTATTGAATTTATTGGGGTAACACTAGTTAATAAAATTGTACAGGTTTCAGGTGCACAATTCTACATCACTTTATCTGTATACTGTATTGTGTGTTCACCACCCTAAGTCAAGTCTCCTTCATCACCTTTTGTTTTGTTTTGTTTTGTTTTTATCCTCATCCGAGGACATTTTTCCATTTTCTACTCAGAGCGGGAAGGAGAGAGAGGAAGAGAGAGAAACATCGATGTGAAAGGGACACATCGAGTGGCCGCCACCCACACGACCCAACCAGGGCCGGGGACAAACTGCAGCCAAGGTACGTGCCCTTTGCGGGAACCGAACCCGGGTCTCTGTGGACCGCAGGCCGACGCTCTAACCTCTGAGCCAAACCGGCCAGGGCTCCTTCATCACCTTTTATCTCCCCTGTACCCACCT